TCCTCTTTGTAGACTGGACACTGGTTCAAGTCCATCTCATGGGGTCTCCACGGCCTCCTTGATCAAGAGGATAGGTGACCCACCATAATTACAAAACATTTTGAGAGGTGCTCCTAGTCCACTGGAACTAGTCAACCTAGGAGGGCAAAGAGCAAAAACTATCCTTTATGTCCCTCTGACCAAATTAATATAGGTCTCAAAGTATGTCTGTTAAATATCCAAGAAGGTTAACTCCACCAGTCTGGTGCTTTTAATTACCGTGTGCCATGTAGATAAAGCTTGGGCAAAGACCAGTTGTTCTCAGATAAACTTTGCCTAGACATATATTTCTTGATCTGGTATGTATAATTTGTCAGTAGGTTGTTGGACTAATATGGTTCCCTCTGGTTTTTAAACTAGCTAGGCATTATTTATCTCCTGCATTGTCTGGTATGTATAATTTCTTGATCTGGTATGTATAATTTGTCAGTAGGTTGTTGGACTAATATGGTTCCCTCTGGTTTTTAAACTAGCTAGGCATTATTTATCTCCTGCATTGTCTAACCCTTCCATCATGGTTTCCCCAGTTAAGGTGGCCCCATTTTCCCCATGAGTGATTATGAGGCCAGCATCCCCTATCTTCTTCCAACAATGTGCAGAATGCTGGCAGATGAACCTCTAGCTCTCAGGCCAAAAGAAAAGAATTCCTTTAGGAAAAAGATTACATTTATTTGTTACACTGGGTGAAGGTGGAGGTCAGAGGACTAGCCCTGCAAGTCAGTTCTCTCCTTCCACCATGTGGGTTCTGGGAATTGAACTAGGTTGTCAGAATTAACAACAAGTTCCTTTACCCACTTGAGGCATGTTGATGACTCCAAGAACTATCTTTTTTAAGATTTATTTTTATTTATGTATAAGTTTGTATGTGCACATGAGTGCAGGTGCCCAAGAGGCCAGAAATGTCAGATCTCCTGGAGCTGGAGTCACAGGCAGCTGTGAGCTGTCTGACGTGAGTGCTAGAAATTGAACTTGGTTTCTCTAGCCCCAAGAATTGCTTTGTAAAGACCTGCATGGCCATTGTGTTTCAAGGAATGCTTCCTAGAAAACCTGACTATCTGCCATTCCATGCCTTCTGTGATATTCACCAGCCATGCTGCTCCATGCAAACCTGAAAAGTCAAAGTGTCACATTCTGAGGCTGAGGAGGTAGCTCAGTGGGTGATAAGCACTTGCTGCACAAGCCTGAGGACCAGAGTTCAGATCCCCAACACACACATGAAAATCTGGGTTTTGGCCACTTGCACCTAAACCCTAACACTGAGGAGGCAGGGGTGGGGGATAGAGACAGGTAGATCCCTGGGGCTGTTGCCTATGGAACCCTAGAGTTCCAGGTTTAGTGAGAGACCCTGTCTCATAAAACAAAGACAGAGTGATACACACACACACAAAACTGAAATGTCATGTTCCCTACCAGATAACATATTCTAAAACTGCAATTAAAATAATGTGTTTCCAATGAAGGAAAAGAGAATTCATTGGAATGAATTAAAAAGTCCAAACACAGCCTCCTGAATATGGTATTTTAAGAAGTTAGCTTTTCCAACGAGCTGAAACAAACAAACATGATTTAATTATATTTTATAAAAGTGCTAGAAGAAATAAAATACTCTTTCAATCTGGAATAGAGGAGAGATTGTTACAAATCTAAGAAGCAATAAAGGAAAAGAAAGGCTGATAAATATGAGTATAAATGAGTTGAAGTTCTCTTTGGCCAAAAATATATTTATTAGAGTTCCACTTCTTTTGGGGTGGTCTTTTTGAGACACCTGTAGCCCCAGCTAACCTGGAACTTGCTATGTAGACCAGGCTGGCCTCAATCTCACAGTGTTCTTGCCTGTTTATGCCTCCCAAGTGCTGGGATTAAAGGCATGCCCAGCTTCTACTTTGTTGTGTATGCGTGGGTGTGTATATGTGTGGGTAAGTGCACGTGGGTGCAGGTTGCCCATGAAGGCCAGATGATCCCCTGGAGTTACAGGTGGTTGTTATGGGTGCTGGAAACTGAACTAGGGTTCTCCCAGAAACAGTACGCACACTTAACCACTGAGACATGTCTCTAACCCCACTGATATCCACTGCTGGACATGGTAGCACAACTGGAGGAGCCACTAGAAAATGCCACATGTTGACACTCATGAAACCACTATTTCCAGACACAACCTGCAGACCAAAACTGTGGTCCAAGTTCTGGAGACAAGTAAGTAGGGAACCTCAGTGAGTTTCTTCCTAGAAGTTCTTCCTCAGTAAGGAGGTGAGTATTAACCAAGGTATGATATTCTCCCCAGATTGAGGAGAGAGCTGAGTGTGGAGAAGACAGAGCATTGTAATTTGTGGGCAGAGCATGAGGAGATGAGAGAGAGAGATCCAGAAACCTTCATAGGATTCCCTGTGTGTGAATGGATAGGATGGGATCCACAGGCACCAACAAGAGATCTGCTCTAGGAGTTCTCATTCTAAGGTAAGTGGAAAGATGAATGGATGAAGACAGTGGAGCAGAGACAGGGCTCTTAGAGTTGATAGGAAGCTACCCCCACTGGCCCATAGGACAGGGCAAGAAACAGGTCTGTGGAGGAGTTTAAAGCCTTGACCCCATCTACACCCAAAGAAGCCCAAGGAACCGGGGTGACTTAGGAAGACCCTGTGGTTCCTGTGAAATCTCTGCTGCTTTCAGCAAAGTCACTGCAAAGCCCTGGGTAAAGGTGGCCTTTGAGGGACAAAGGGCCCTGAGAGAAGGAGGGACTCCCAGGAGAAGCCAGTGTGGAGGCTGCTGCAATGACAAGCAAGCACAAAGTTTCTGGGTTTTTTTTTTTCAGTGAGTATTTATTGAAATTCTGGCCTGGCAGAACTGTGCAGGCTGCTGAGGGGAAACAGAGGCACACAGGGCTCATCCTTAAGGACCCATCAAGCCATGGGAGCACACAAGAGATAAACATGTTTGAAACAGTTGGACAAAGGGACAGGGCAGGACAAAAAGAAGGCCAATGGGAATCCATGCATAGGGTTTGAGTCTCTGAGGGAGAACACCTCAGGTCTGGCCAGCTCAAGCCACAGCCTATCCTGTGGACTTCTTGCACACCCAGTGGTAAGCAACCCTGCACTCCATGTCGTTCCATAGCTGCTTCATATGGATGCAGTCTTCAAACTCTCCATTCCCATGTCGCCAGTTGTCAGGCTGATTTTTTTCCCAAAACCTGGAAACAACAGGGCTTTACTCTATAGCCAAATCAAGATCCCTTCCCCTGAGTGGGAGGCCCCAGGATATAAACAAGGCTGGGGCCACAGGAGTCGTCCCAGTGGCCCTGCGGAGGCTACAGTTGCTGAGGATCCAGAACAAGCAGGAGCATCTTCCCCAGAACTCACATTCTGAGGCATTCCAGTGAGGAGCGGGGACCAAGTGGGCATAAGACAGGAAATAAAAGAGACAAAACTGGAAAAGTAAGAAGACCTGCTCAGAACTGGCTTCCAGCCACAAGGCCTGTCCTTTCCTGATGCTGTTAGAGACCCATGCACACCATGAACCTCACATACCACATAAATCTCATATATACATATCATACAGCATGCACATCACATGCACACACACTGCACATATATCACATACACATCACATCACAAACCACACACTATGTATAGATATCACATGTATACGCCATTCATGCACACCCACTGACTGTACACACATGGGACAAGGAAGCATGCCCATAAGCACCTAGATGTTGGCAGCCAGTGGTTAGACTCACCCTCTGCTCTGGACACCATTAAATGGTGTTCCATCTGCCCAGCGCCAATTGCCCTCAGTGCCCCAATCAGTGAGGCCGATCCAGTGATACATGGTACTGGTGAAATGAACCAGGAACTCCTGTGCAGAGGGAGAGCTGTGAGGAGCTGACTCTCCGAACCATCCCCTCCCTGGTCCCTAAGCAGGAAAGCCATCTCCATGCAGGATGAGTCTCTTCCATGCCTCATCCAGAACCTAGGTCAACAGCTAGATCCCTCAGGGGAATCACTTACGCTGCCTGTCCTACATAGTCCTCGCCCTTGGGAAGGGGTGTGGCTTCACCGGAACAGAGGTTCTGACCCTAGCTTATTAGAACTATTCTACATCAACCCAAGTGTCCTGAGAGAGCCACAGGGGATGGTGTGATTCTACAAGTTGAATTAAACCAAACCTAGCCTGGTCCTCATTAACCTGACAGGTTCTGACCATGCCTCTGGCCAGATGGCCCTCCAGTTAGAATATTGTTTTGGGGTATGCATCTGGTCTCCAGAGGGTCAGGATCTCATGAGCCTTCCATAGCCACTGGATATTTAAATCCACACTGAAGAAAGGAAGGCTGACAGGAGCAGAAGGTATGGGAGGTGCATGTCCCACACTGACGTTCTAGACAGTTCTCCTCTCGCTATCCTCTTTCCCTTCTGGCCTCTGCTGGACCTTGGCTGTCTCCCTTCTTCACTGAGCAGGTGGGAGGTTTCTGGCTGTTTGTCTACCTCCAGTAAAAGGGGATCGTGGGAACTCAGTAAATATCTGCTCCCTACTGATGAGGAGACATGAGGGGCTCCACTATCTTTGAGAAGGTGAAGGTCAAAGCATGTGTGCCCCTAACCACACATCAACCCCTCAGCCTGCTCCAAGCCCAGATATCTGACCTGCTCCTCCTGAGAGGTCACCGATGCCAGGTGTGCTCCCTGGGACACACAGAACTGCTCAGCCTCATTCCAGGATTTCTTGACATGGGAAAAGTAATACAGGTTTCCCCTGAATGCCTTCCAGCCCTGTAGGACCAGCTGGAGAAGCTGACCTACAACAACAGGGTTAAGGAGGAGAATCCAGGATTGGATGTGGTGAGGTCCCAGAACTGACCTCTACATCCTGTCCTAGACCACAGAGGTTCACAAACCCAGGCAATTCTCAGTTCCCAGTGGCACAGGAGCAGGTCCTGGGATGCCAGACCCCACCCCACAGCCAAGTCCTTGAACCCTCCAGACACACATTTTTCTGTCACTTCTGGTAGTGTCTGCTTTGTCACCAACCAGCATTTTCAGTCAATGCCTGCTTTCTGATGTGCCAGCCTCTCCCAATTCATGACTGTCGCTTGCTACCCCTCTCTACCTCCAGTCCTGCAACCAATAGGCTCCCTCACTTCCTGCTTTCATCTCCATCCACAGACTTCAGCTGCTCCCACCCATAGGCCATCCTGAGACCAGTGTAGCCAGTTCTTAGAGCTGCTCCTAAAAGCGCACCTCATTCCCCCTCCCTGTCTGATATCTCTCTCACATCCCTTCCACCCCAGCTGTGTTCCTAGGTACACTGACTCATCCATTTGTTCTCATAAGTGCTACTCAGTCTTCAACATTCCTTAACATATGAGTCAGGGACTGCTAGAGAAAGATTCCTAAGACATTTAAGATGCCCTTAAAGAACTTGGGTCTAGCTATGAGCAGGTGTTGGAGATGCCTTAATGACAGCCGGGTGGCCCTCAGAGTGGCAGCCAGAAAGCTGCTGGTCTGTCTCTCCCGGGAGGGAGGAGGGCCTCTCCCTTTCCCTCCTGTTCTTTCTATCCCTGCTTCTTTCCCTCCCTCCCTATTTGCTGCTTCTCTGCTTCTTTTTCTCACCCTCAAACTGAACCATCGGAATCTAGAAAACCCCTCAAGAAAGTTCACCAAAGCACTAACAGTAAGTTCTTACGGAATAGAAATGCTCTGGAGCACAGGTGCCTGTCTTCTCATCTCGACTTCTCCACTTGTGCCACGCGGTCCCCTTGGAAAAGTACCTTTTCCCTTTTGCCACCTGAAGGCTGGCTCCCTGCTTCTACCCTCAGCTCTCTTTTCATGGAGCACTTTGTTCCATGCAAACTCCAGCACCCCATTGCTGTGACCAGAGCCCACATCCCAGGCCCCAAGTACCTATCTACAATTTGCCTACACAGCCTGGGAGTGACAGCTGTGACTCTCCCCAGAGCATCTGAACTCCCAGAGCATCTGAACTCAGCAGGTGGGATCTCCTGCTGTCTCTTCTTCTATTCCATATGGCATATGAAGGCCAAGAAGCCAAGCCTGCTAGGAGCCTCCTCCATGTCTCCCTCTAGGAGGAGACCTAAGTTCAGAGTCCCTCTGTCCACCCAGTGCCTCCCAGGCACTCACTGACCTCTCTGCTGCAGTGTTCTCAATGTCACTGTTCAGCCCATTACCAGGTAGTGAGCAGCTTTTTTCTTTTTTGTTTTTGTTTTTGTTTTTTCAGGCAGAGTCTCACTATACAGATGTGGCTAGCCTAGAACTTACTATGTAACCCTCAGGCTCACAGAGATCTGCCTGCCTCTGCCTTGGGAGTGCTAGGATTAAAGGCCTGTGCTATCACACAGGCCTTTTTTTTAATTTTTAAAATTATGAATAGATTATAGGCCAAGCATGGTAGCACAGGCCTTTAATCCCAGCACTCAGAGGCAGACAGTTCTCTCTGAGTTCCAGGCCAGTAAGGCTACACAGTGAATCCCTGGCTCAAAATAAAAAAATTTAAAAAAATTACAGTGCTTTTTGCAGAAAGCATGCACTTACTCATCCATGCTACAGTCTCACCTGAGGCGGTGTAAAAGCCTCTGCATTGGCCTCTATCTACTGCCCTTTCAGCAGGACAGAGTTGCCCTCTTTTACCACAGGCTCCTCACACTGCCGGAAGTTTCCAGAACCTCAGACTCATGAGTCTGTGCTTATGAATTTACTGTTCTCTTTCCCTGATTGTTTGTCAACCTCCTGTCAGTCCTTGTGATGTCAGCCCTGGGCCATCCTCTCAGCTGTGTCTTCTGGTCTAGCCACACAGGCCCCGGGAGACTCCCTCTGCCTTCCTTTTTGCAACTCCTTTACCCTAGTTCCTGGCCCTGCTTCTCCCTTACGTCTTGTACTGGTCTGTGCGTCCTCTGTGTCTGCCATCACCATCATCATAACCCCAAAAGCTTGGGGAAGGTGGATAGCATATCTTCATCTTTATAGCCTGACAACAGAACCTCAAAGTCTCAGCCCAGTGGGTACTGCATGAGCTGAAACTCTTTACACATATTAACTCACTTGATCCTTGCGGTGAAACAAATCCTATTACTCTAAATTTTTTAGGGGGAGTAAGACAGGCTCTCAATCCAGACTGGGCTCCAACTCACTATGTAGTTGCAAGTGGCTTTGAACTCCTTCCTGATCCTCCTGCTTCCCCTTCCCTGGTGCTGGGCTCCCAGGTATGCACCACCACACCTGGCAACCACTTTTTTTCTCATTCAGTTTTTGAGACAGGGTCTTGCTATGTAGTCTAGGCCAGTCTCAAACTTACTATGTAGCCCAGACTTGTCTGGAACACACAATGCTCCTCCTTCCCCAACTTCCTGAGTGCTGGGATCAGTCATGTGTCACTATGTTGACCAAAATGTAAAGTTTGGGGTAGTAACTTAATCAAGATCTCACAATTCTGATAGCAAGGAACCAGAAACAGGACCTTTCCTCCCTATCCCATTAATTTCACATTTTCCTCATGTATAATTTATTTTGAAACTGGCTAAATTATAAGCCGTCCTAGGCCACTCCAGCACATGGCCTGTCTCATTAAATCTGATTCTGTCTCCAGCACCATGCTCCTCCACTGATGCATGTTAAGGTGGGCCAAGAGGCTGTCCCTCCTCAACAATACCCCTCTTTCCATGACTTACTCTGGTTTCTCTGTAGCTGCTCCTGTGATGCCACAGCAGTGTGCAAGGCCCCCAGACGACTTTGCTCCTCTTGGATCTGGGCAGTGAGAGTTCTGGTGGCCTCCAGATCTGTCTTTAACCTCTGCACCTCAGCCTCGGCCTTCCGCAGGTTGCTCTGCAGTGACTGGGTCTTCGCCTCAATTTGGGAGTTTATGGAATTGGCACTTTCCAGCTCAGCTTTTAACATCCGGATCTGGGCATCTGTCTGCTGCAGGTGACCATCTGCCCTTTGGGTCTGAGCAGTAACTGTTTCTAGATCTTTCTTTAAGGAGTTCATCTCATCACCAGTCTTTTTCAGATGACTTCTCAGGGCCTGGATCTCAATGCTGGTGTTGTACACACTGCCTTGGAGGAGGCTCTGGGTCTGGGAGCTGAGAGCATTTTCGCTCTGCACATTCACCCTCAACTTCTGGATCTCAGCCTGGACTACCACCAAACTGCTCCTTAAAACCTGATCCTGGGTCCTTAAGTCATCAACAGTCTCCAGATGGCTTCTCAAAATATGAATTTCAGCATGGGCATTCTCTAAGCTGCTGTTTGCCAATCGAGCCTGGGCATTGGCCACCTCCAGCCCCACCCTCAGCACCTGGATCTCGGTCTGGGCACCTTCCAGGCCTCTGCCCAGCACTTGGAGCTCTGTGCTGGTGTTTTCTGCACTGCTCTTTAAGAGATCCCAGGTCTGGGAAGTTGCAGCAGTTGCCTTGCCCAGATCTTCCCTCAGCCTCTGGATCTCGGTGCTGACCACCTCCAAGGAACTCCTCAGCACCTGGGTCTGTGAATGCAAGGCACTGGCATCCTTCAACTCGCCCTTTGCCCACTGGATGCTAGTGCTAGCATCCTCCAGATGGTCCCCGAGCATCTGGATCTGAGAACTGACATTGTCCACTCTGCACTTCAGCATCTGGAGCTCCATGTGCCAGGTGCTGGAATTCTCCTTGAGGTCCCTAAAGCTCTGAGTAGCCTCTCCCACCTCTGCAGCCCTGCCAAAGTTGGGGTGATCTGAAAGATGGAAGCCAAAAGAGGCCCATTATGTAGAAAAGGTTAGATGGCCTATCAAAATGTTCCTGGATGTGATGGCTAATATTGACAGTCAACTTGACAGGATCTAGAATCACCCAGAAGACAAACTTCTGGGTATTACAGAGAGGTGTGACTGAGAAGGGAAGACCCACCCTGAATGTGGTTTGCACTATCCCATAGGCTAGATCCCAGATTGAATAAAAAGGAGAAAGTGACCTGAGCAGAGCATTCGTCTCTCTGCTTCCTGACTGTGAGTGCAATGTATCTAGTGGCCTAATGCTCCACCATGCCTTCCCTGCCTCTATGAATTGTACCTTCAAACTGTGAGCAAAAACAAACCCTTCCTTCTTTGAGTTGTTTTTGTAAGGTATTTGTTGCACAACAAGAAAAGTAATATAGTAGAGACTGTCCATACACAGCTCTGAGTGATCTCCCAGCAGCCTGCTGGTCCCTATGGCTACCAAGACTCTAGGGATACAGGCCCAGAAGATACAGGCCCAGAAGATACAGGCCCAGAAGCAAAATGGATGAGGAGCTAGTTGGCTGTCACACATGCGTGAAAGAGCAGTAAGGGCTAACACTCTGGCCTGTGCCACATAATCTGGGCATTGTGGCACACACCTAAAAGCCCAACACCAAGGAGGTAGAGACATGAAGATAAGAAGTTCAAGGCTATCCTTAGCTACATAGTTCAAAGCCAACCTGGACTATATGAGACCCTCTCTCAAAAAAGATTCACAAGGAAGATGGAAGCCATTCTGGGAGCTGGAGCTGAGGTATGGGAGGATAACCTGGCCCAGGATCTGGGCTCCCCAGTGTCTCAGTTCCCCTAGCTCTGTTCTCACTGTGGCTACTCACTGTTGGGCTCCATAGAGAACTGTCCAGTAGAGTTGTCTCCCACAAGCAACTTGTCTCCCCACAAGGAAGGATCTTCATTCATCAAGGGTCTGCAAGGTTGCAGAGCTGTAACAGCCATTCCTGGGTCAGTGCCCTGTGCCTAGGGGAACAGGCTGCCCCACACCAGCTAGGGTTCCAGAAGCAGGAAGAAGGCACCAAGAACCCTCCCAGGGTTTCCCTCAAGAGCCTTCATTCTCATAAGCCACACTGCAGCACAGTGGGCTCTGTCTGCTCCTGGGGAAGCTTTGGTTTGGGCCTGGAATGGCAGTGAAATGATGCTTCAGGGGACAGAAACATCCAGAGGATGTGCCATCTTGGGACATCTGCACGGGAAGGCAAAACAGCAGTGGCTCAGGTCACCAGGAACTTACCCACCACAAAGAGAGCCAGGAGAGAGAATACCACAGTCACAGCCATCAACACCAGGGCAGCCCTAACATGCCTCTGCATCCTGGGAGCCCCAAAAGCCACTGGTTCGAGGTCCATCCCTGCAAGGGAGAAGTCAGGACCCAGAGTGAGAGGGTTCTGGGAGGGCCAGGATAGTCACCCTCTCTGGCACCATCCTCAGGCCTGTCTGTTGGGTATGAGAATAGCCTCCTCTGAAGCATTCGCCTGGTCTCTCTGTGGGCAGGGCAGCAGCACAAAGGCTGAAAGACCCCAGAGCTCACAATAGCCATGGAGGCTGTGGTGATGTCCAGAGCACAAAACCTGGTGCGGAAGGGGTGGGCTAAAAAAGTGTGGTTGGAGTAAAAGAAGAAAGGGAAAGCGAGAAGGAAGGAGGAGACAAAAGGGAGATCCCAACCTCAGGGTCCCAGTCTTGCTAACAAACCCTGACCAAATCCTGGCATAATGGTACATGCCTTTAATCCCAGAACTTCTCAAGGCCAACTCTACATAGTGAGTTCCAGACTAGCCAGGGCTACATAGGCCCTGTCTCAAAAAAGAAAAATAATCAAAGCAACACTTGACCAAAGCAAGGGTCACAGCCCCCTTGTGGCCACACAGTTATGTGCCTGGACCCCAACACCCCTATGTTGCCATGGGTGTTCCCGGCCCTCTAGGGACCATGGTTAGGGACCAAAGGTGCATTTACTAATGATAATAGAGACCAGCCCTGAAACCCCAGAGGCTACCAGGGCCAGGGAGTGTGCAAAGCTGGGGTTCAAAGCCAAGTCCTTCTGAACTCAAAGTGCACCCTCTTTCTCTTGTTCTCATTGGACAGGATCTGAGAGATTTCCTACAGAGTCTGGGATACCGGGGCTCTGGTCCTCTACTGACTCACATTCTTCCTTCGCCTCTTTACTGTGGGGTCAAGGCAGGGATGTTTCTGACCCACCAAGGAGGGACTCAGAGGGCAAAGGACAGGCAGGAATCCCATGTGTCCTCACCTCGGAGATGCAGGGAGACACACTGGTTGTCTGTGCAGAAGAGAGCTGCATCTCTGTCCGCCTCCAACTCCTTCATCCTCCAATGCTGCTCCTGCCACTGGTCTCTGGAAGGTGTGTCCTGTGAGCCAGCAATAGGGGAACAAAGCTGAGACAACCCTAATTTATGTGCCTTCATGGAGGTCATGACCTGCCCCAGCCCCCCTCCCTCCCTACTGACTCTGCAGAAACCCAGGGCCAGCAACCTCTCCCCTCCGGATTCTTCCAGAAGCCCAGGAGCTCAGCAGCCCTCCTCTCCTCTGCCCCTCCTCCCTCAGTGCCCTACACACTAGCTCTGCCTCAGACTCACAGGCACCTGTGCTCTTCTCTGGTTGCCAAGACTGGCCACTTGGGAGGAGGGGGAAACTTTGCAGAGAAAACATCCTTGTGGGGATGAGGAGATATCTTAGTCAGTAAAGGGCTTACCATATAAGCATGAAACCCAAGTTCGAATCCCTAGCACCCACATAAAAACCAGGGCATAGGGGCTGGAGAGATGACTCAGCAGTAAGAATACTTTCTATTCTTCCAGAGGACCTAGGTTTGATTCCCAGTACCCAAATGGTGGCTAACAACCATCCATGACTCCAGTTCCAGGAGATGTGACACCCTCCTCTGGCCTCTGCAGGACATTGGACGCATGTGGTACACTTATATACATGCAGACAAAATGCTTATGCAAAACACTTATTCACATAAAATAAAAATATTTTTTAAAAAGAAAACAAAAAATTCAGCAGTATCCCAGGATGCACTTGTCATCCCAGTGCTGAGGAGACGGAGACAGGAGCACCCGATGACTTACTGGCCAGTCAGTCTAGCTGAATCAGTGAGAGGCTTGTCTCAAGGTTCAGTGAGAGACCTGCCTCAAAAATAAGTTGGAGAGTCATTAGGGAAGACACCTGACATCAAGCTGTGGTCTCACACACACACACATACACAGAGGCAGAGACACAGGCAGAGATACACACAAACATGCACAGAGGGAGGGAGGGAG